TCCTCGGGTGCGGGCCTTTTCTTTCTTTCCTTTTTCTTGTTGCCACAGGTTCCCTCTCTAGCTTAACATTTAGGTTGGGCTGGGTAGCTGGTGAGCCTCAGGAATCCACCTGTCCCCGCCTTGCAAATGTCTGGATTACAGACATATTCTAGGGATCAAACTTATACTTTCAAGGGCAGAACTTTACCAAATGATTCATCTTCCCAGATCCCCAGGGTTTTTAATTTTTCAATACAAGTATAGTGCATTGAGCACATCTGCCAGTTCCCTTGGCTCACCTGGAATCCTTCCCGTAAGCGTAAGCCCCTTTGTTCTTAGAGGCAGTTGAGACAGGGTTTCTCTGTGTAGCCCTGGCTGTCCTGGAACTCACTCTGTAGACCAGGCTGGCTCAAACTCACAGAGATCTGCCTGCTTCTGCCTCCCAAGTCCTGGAATCAAATGCGTATGCTACCACTGCCTGGCTTCAATTCCACTTTCTCCCTTTTCCCCATCCATTAGCCATCTCTAATGTCACATACACGGCATGATTTCATGTAACTGTACACAGTCTAGACCAAGCTGACTTTTAGTTTACTTCCTCTGCTTCTCAAGTGCAAGGATTAGAGGTTTGCCCTCCACATAAGTAAGAGAAAACATACGATATTTGTTTCTTTGTCCAGTATCTTCAGTTGCATCCATTTTCCTGCAAACAACATAATTTCTTTATGACTAAAACCAAAATCTGTCGTGAGTTGCACATTTCTTTGTCTAGTCCTCTGTTGACAGACACCGAGCCTTGTTCCTTTCCTGGTTTACTTTTTTCTTTAAAAAAAAAATTATTTATTATAGAATGATCTACCTGCATGTATGCCTGCTCGCCAGAAGAGAGCATCGGATCTCATTACAGATGGTTGTGAGCCACCATATGGGTGCTAGGAACTGAACTCAGAACCTCTGGAAGAGCAGCCAGTGCTCTCAACCGCTGAGCCATCTCTCCAGTCCCAACTGGTTTACTTTTTTTGTCATGATAAATGGCATGGCCAAAACAATTTGGGGAGGAAAGGGTTTATTTGGCTTACGGGTTATATTCCGTTATGAGGGGAGCCGAAGCAGGAGCGACGGAAGAGCCCTGCTTGCCAGTTTGTTCTCCACGCCTGCCCAGTCTGCTTTTGCACATCTGCTCCTTGGGCTGAGGACTAAACTCAAGGCCTCATCCTTGCTGGACAAGCGTTCTACCACAGCTCTAAATCCCCAATCCCTTAGCTGTCTTTTTTTTTTTTAAAGATTATTTCTTTTTTTTTAAAGATTTATTTATTTATTATGTATACAACATTCTGCCTCGATGTATGCCCGCACACCAGAGCAGGGTGCCAGATCTCAGTACAGATGGCTGTGAGCCACCATGTGGTTGCTGGGAATTGAACTCAGGACCTCTGGAAGAGCAGCCAGTGCTCTTAACCTCTGAGCCATCTCTCCAGCCCTTTAAAGATTATTTCTATTGGGGGGGCACACCTTTAATCCCAGCACTGGTAGAGGCAGAGGCAGGTGGATTTCTGTGAGTTTGAGGCCAACCTGTTTTGCAGAGCGAGTTCGAGGACAGCCAGGGCTACACAGAGAAACCCTGTCTCAAAAAACAAAAACAAAAAGCAAACCAACAGAAAGATGATTTTATATGTATGAATGCTTTGCCTACGTGTATGTATATGCACCACATGTTCATCTGGTGCCTGAAAGGCCGGAAGGGGACACTGGAGCCCCTGAAACTGGGGTTATAGATGGTAGTGAGCCACTATGTGGATGCTGGGAACTGAAGCCAGGTCCTCTGCAAGAGCAGCAAATGCTCTAACTGGCTGAGCCATCTCTCCAGTCCCAGCTTGCTGCCTTACACAACCCGGGACCGTCTGTCCAAGGACAGCACCACTCACAGTGGGCTGAATCCTCCTGCATCAATTAACAACCCAGAAAATTCCCTACAGACATTGCCACAGCTCACTCTGACAGCAGCCACTCCTCAACAGAGTTTCCTCTTTACGGCAGCCCAGTCTGAGCATGGTCCCATAGCTCTTGTGACGAGCCATGCTAAAAACTGGTAACGCAATTTCTCTGTGACATGCTGACCTGGAATGCCCAGGAATGTCATTGCTGGGTCCTATACTGAGGGGGACCCTACAGGTGTGGGTCCTATACTGAGGGGACCCTACAGGTGTGGGTCCTATACTGAGGGGGACCCTACAGGTGTGGGTCCTATACTGAGGGGACCCTACAGGTGTGGGTCCTATACTGAGGGGAACCCTACAGGTGTCGTGCAGGGAAACAAACTTCAAGGTGAGGATGAAAAGTCACTTCATTTTTTTTTTAAAGATTTATTTATTATATAGACAACTTTCTGCCTCCATTTATACCCACACACCAGAAGAGGGCACCAGACCTCTTTACAGATGGTTTGGAGCCACCATGTGGTTGCTGGGTATTGAACTCAGGACCTCTGGAAGAGCAGACAGTGCTCTTAACCACTGAGCCATCTCTCCAGCCCCAAAAAGTCACTTTCAGATTGACTTCGTTAACCTGGATCAAACCTTCTCGAGTGTCTGATGCCAGGCAGTTCATTCCCAAGAAATTTAAACACAGTATAATTTGGAAAAAGTTTCCTGGTGTAATACAATCCCCAGTGCAGAAGAAAGAACAATTACACTGAAACTCGACTCAGGGTACATGTCATTTCTTCCGAGAAGATGGGTTCTAGAGATAGGCTACCTGTACTCCCTTAAGAGGTCTGCCTGGTTTCTGTCATACAGGTAGGGTAGAGGTCATTTGGGCACAGTCACCAGTGCAGAAGAAAGGACAATTACGTTGAACCTCGAGTCAGAGTACATGTCATTTCTTCCGAGAAGATGGGTTCTAGAGATAGGCTACCTGTACTCGCTTAAGGTCCTAAAGTAGGTCTGTCTGGTTTCTGTCATACAGGTAGGGTAGAGGTCATTTGGGCTATTAGCCACCTCTGGTCCTGGTTGTGGAAACTTGGGGAGCCCGTGGCTGTAAGGGTCATTTAAAGATTACTAGCCACCTCCAGGTCTGGCTGGAGGAGATTGATGTGGCCTGGCCCAACAGAGAACACAGATCACCAGGCTATAATCACTTCCAATTCCCAGATTTCTGGATGAAGAACAGGTTTTACCTCTTTCCCATTGAAAAGATAGTCCCTGCCTGCTTAGCATTCTTGGTTTCTCTGGAGCTCTGTTCCTCCTGTGCTCTCTCTCAACACCACAAAAAGGTTCGCCTGTGTTGCTTGCTATCTCTCTCTTCCCCCTCTCTCCCCCTCTCCTCTCTCTCATTTTGGGTGTATGTGTTTGTCTGTACATTCAACTATGTATGGATGCACACTTGTGTGTGAATGTGGAAATCAGAGGTTGACATTGGGTATCAACCTTGATCACTCTTCACTTGATCCTTGAGGCAGGATCTCTCGCTGAACTGGAGCCGACTGATTTGACTGACGGAGCCAGTCTAGCAAGCCAGCTGGTTCTGAGGATCCAAACTTCTGGACTCTGGTCCTCTTTGCTTAGAAAGCAAGCATTTCATCCACTGAGCCATCTCCCCAGCCCTCTATTTTTTGGTGGTGGTTGTTTCTTGAGGCAGGATCTCGCTATCTTGCTCTGGCTGGCCTGAAACTCATTATGGACACTAACCTGGCCTCTTACAGAACTCTCCCTGTCTCTGCCTCCTGAGTACTCAGATTAAAGACTGAATACCACCACGTCATCCCCCTGCCTCAGCCTCCCAAATGCCAGGAGTATACTTACTACTGTAATAAGTTTTTGTCAGCTTGACACAAGCCAGACTCATCAGAGAGGAGGGAACCTATAAGATTCTGTGGGACATTTTCTTAATTATTGGTGCTACCCCTGGGCTGGTTGTCCTGGGTTACAGAAGAAAGCAGGCTGAGCAAGCCAGTTAGCCCCACTTCTCCATGGCCTATCAGCTCCTGCCTCCTGTTTTGAGTTCCTGTCCTGACTTCCTTTGGTGATGAACAATGATATGAAGTGTAAACCAAATAGATCCTTTCCTACACAACTTGCTCTTTGGTCGTGGTGTTTCACTGCAGCAACAGAAACCTGAAGACAATCACCTTGTTTTCCTATTTCCTTCTCCTCCCCCCCCCTTTTTTTGAGACAGGATCTTATTGTATAGCCCTGGCTGCCCTTGAATGCCCCAGATAGACCAGGCCAGCATTCAGTCCTTCTACCTCTGCCTCCCAAGTGCTGGGATTACAGGCTTGCACCACCACACCGGCTTCTCCACTTAGGATAATGAATGATGCTATTAACATCCACACACGAGTGCTTGTGTGAGCACACATTTCCTTTTGTTAGTGAGCAAGGTTTAGGGAGAAGAGCCTCGTGTAGTAAATACACCTTAACGTCAGGAAACTGCAGAGCTGGTCCCTGAAGCAGCCACACCATTAGGTATTTTCTCTTAGACGAGCCTCTCCACTGGTGCAAATAATCCCAATCAGACCGAATCAAACCGAATTAAAGATGCCCATGTTTAGTGGAGTATTCCTGGGAGGCCCTGGAAAAACATGGAGAGGGGAGGAGACAGAGAGAAGGGGAGACCATGTGTTCATTCTCTGGGGGGCAGTTTAAATAGCATGTGGGAGTGGTCCCAACCTTCCCTGGGGAGGGGTCACCATTTGGTAGGCTTTCTTGGAGGTGGAGTTTAGACTAGGGCAACTTCCCAGGGGAGGGAGCTTATTCCAGAAGCTGGGGTGAAGCCCCCAGGCAAACAATCCACACTTTTTGTATAAAGGGGTTTCAGGGAGCTGAGGTGACACTTTTGACCAAACATTACAGACTTTTTGGATAAAGAGGTGCCAGCGAGCTGAGGTGAAGCCCCTCAACCAAACATTCATTTATTTATTTATTTATTTATTTATTTATTTATTTATTATGTATACAATATTCTTTCTGCGTGTATGCCTGAAGGCCAGAAGAGGGCACCAGACCTCATTACAGATGGTTGTGAGCCACCATGTGGTTGCTGGGAATTGAACTCAGGACCTTTGGTAGATCACGCAATGCTCTTAACCACTGAGCCATCTCTCCAGCCCTCAACCAAACATTTTAGACTTCTTGGATAAAGGGGCGCCAGCTCAAGTCTGGTCGCTTCCTGCAGGCATGGGGCGATGTGGGAGAAGGGAGAGCTGGGAGTTGGTGGGCTCACACTCAGCGAGAGGTGTGACTGGAGCGGCATCCGGTTTACTGCCATCCTGGAGACCTCAGGCAGCTGTTTCCTGAGGGAGATGAGAAGGCAGGTAGCAATGGTGAGGGCCCAGGAGCTGGTGCAGGTGTTGGCATTATCTGGAGAGCACTTTGTAAACTGGTCTTGGCCCAGACAGCAGAAGTGTAAAATATGCTTAAAAATAGGTGGTGTTAAAATACGCTCTGGAGACTGTTTTTAACAGACCTGGTTTTTGATATAGCAGCAGAACCCTCCCCCAGGAACCTGTAGGTATCTGTAAGACAACTAGAACCCATTTACATCTTGGAGTATGAACATTTTAGAAGACAAAAGAAATTAGAAGGGGCTGGCGAGATGGCTCAGTGGTTAAGAACATGGCCTACTCTTCCAAAGGTCCTGAGTTCAATTCCCCGCAACCACATGGTGACTCACAACCACCTGTAATGAGGTCTGGTGCCCTCTTCTGGCCTGTAGACATACACACAGACAGAATATCGTATACATAATAAATAAATAAATAAATAAATAAATAAATAAATAGTGCCAGGTGATGGTGGCGCACGCCTTTAATCCCAGCACTCGGGAGGCAGAGGCAGGCGGATTTCTGTGAGTTCGAGACCAGCCTGGTCTACAGAGCTAGTTCCAGGACAGGCTCCAAAGCCACAGAGAAACCCTGTCTCGAAAAACCAAAAAAAAAAAAAAAAAGAAAAGAAATTAGAAACTTTTTTTTAAAAATATTTATTCATTTATTATGTATACAATATTCTATCTGTGTGTATGCCTGCAGGCCAGAAGAGGGCACCAGACCTCATTACAGATGGTTGTGAGCCACCATGTGGTTGCTGGGAATCGAACTCAGGACCCTTGGAAGAGCAGGCAATGCTCCCAACCACTGAGCCATCTCTCCAGTCCCCAAAAATTAGAAACTCTTGAGCCTCTGAAGATACCCTGAAACCTGTTAGTTCTGGACTATGAAGCCTGTTGAAGAGGCACACTTTTCTGTATTTTAGCAGGAAACTTAACAGATGAAGAAATGACCTACCAGTACCTTAATTCATCAAATGCCAGTAGAAAGCTCTAAGGGGATAAATGAGCAGACATGAGACAGCGTTTTTAGCAATGTAGACAATCCAAGTCTTCTCCTTAGCCCTTGGAGAACACCAGCCTTAGAAACAGGGCTTGCCATTTGCTGGTGAGTACAAGAGGCCCGGAGATTTTCCTGGGGGAGATTTAGTCTACCTGTCTTGGCAGGACGATATGATCAATTCCCCAGATGGCATCCAGAAAGCTGAAGAGGTGGAGGCTGCTTTTTGCTGTGCAGGTGACTTTGCCATACCCAAAGGCAAGCCTCAAGGCAGGTCTTCTGCAAACACTTACCTTCGTGGAGGAGCTATAGGATGCTGCAGGAGCTGGCATGTCTCTGTGTTAGCAGCTCTTGTTAAATGCCATTCTTTCAGCTCTGTAAGGCAGTTGATAACTGGGTATCATTACCTGTTATATTTCAACTAGACACGTAAGCTAAATCTAGACACGTTAGGGAGCTGAGGTGATGCTTTCCACCAAACACTGTTTACATCCTGCCAACCAAAAGAGTTCTAGTCAGTTGAGTGTCGATAATCACGCCAGTGGTGGAGGCAGGAGAATCAGCTCCAGAACGTCCTTGACTACAAGTTGAGTTCAAGGCCAGCTGAGTCACTGAAGAGCCTCTCAGATAAATGCCTACCTCTCTGTGAATCCAGTAAAGACAGGATCTTGGTCTTGCTTTGAGAAAAAAACGTACCTACCTTCCTCTTTTCCTTGTTTATTTTTGGTTTGGGCTATGTTTTTTTTTTTTGCTGGTTTTTTGTTTGGTTTGATTTTTTGGAGACAGCATTTCTCTGTGTAGCTTTGGAGTCTGTCCTGGAACTTGCTCTGTAGACCAGGTTGGCCTCAAATGCAGAGATCTGCCTGCTTCTGCCTCTGAGTGGTGTTTTTTTGTTGTTGTTGTTGTTTGTTGCTGTGTGGGAGTCTGCAAATCACCCCACAAAAGACCACCACTTACTTATGCAAAGCAGAAGCATTTTAATTCTCAAGAGACAATTCCAGCATCCTGGGATCTGTCACCCAGCAAAATGGCAGTGACTCGGAGAGAAGCTCGCAGGCTCCTTTTATACACAGCTAGGGGAATTCCAGAGACAGTTAGGTCATCTCCAACAAGCCTGATTGGCTAAGCAAGAAGCAGTTACATTAGTTTGAATTTGATTTGCTGCAGCATCTTTGGACTTGTCAGGGCAAGTCCAGACAAACCTGGGCAATGTCGCAAGGGGAGGGGGGGGGGGGTCTGCGGATCTGCCTTTTCCTGATTGGCTGGCGCCAGACCATGGTCCCTCCCAGGAATGCCAGCCCAGCCAAAGCCCAGTCCTAGACCGAGCGTGGCACTTGTCAAGCCATACATGGGACGGCCCCTAGCCATCTCAGAACCAGAACCAGGCAGGCTGCCGGTCCCAGGAGCGGGTTGGGGAGAGGGCCTTGGTGAAGTGGCCACCCAGAAGCAGGGCTGAGGGGCCATGCTGAAGGCCAGGGTCGAGGCAAGTGGAAGGGGGGTCAGGCCCAGCAAATAGGCTTGGTGGACACTGCTTACCACCGCTGCTGCTGGCTGTCTCAGCAGTTTTGGGGTTTGTTTGTTTGTTTTTGTTTTTGTTTTGTTTTGTTTGAGACAAAATGTCATGAATCCCTCCTGGCCTCAAAAAAATCACTGTGTAACCAGGGGGACTTTGACCTGCTGGTCTTCCTGCCACTGTCTCCAGTGCGCTGGGATGACAAATGGGTGGCACTATGCCTGGTTTATGAGCCACTGAGAATCCAGTCTGTGACTCTGTGCATGCCAGGCAAGACAGCTCCAGTCTTGTTCTTTCTGAGTCAAAGTCTCATTGTGTAGACCAGGTTATCCTGGAACTCACAGCAATCCTTTGGCCTCAGTCTCCCAAATGGGAGCCACCACACCTAATTTAACCAAATTCTACCTATTTTAAAAACCACTGAGGTGGCAAGTAAAAACGTCACAGGAGCCTGATGACATAAGTTCAATCCCTGAGTCCACACAAAGGTGGAAACGGAGACTACACTTCTCAGAGTCACCCTCCGACCATCACCTGGGTGACACGGCACACCCATGTCCCCACACAAATGATAAATTAATAAATTTTTATTAATTAAATTAAAAATTAATAAATAATTTTTCAAAATTGGTTTGATTCTTTTGAAAAAGGAAGGACAGAAGAAAGAAAGGGGGGGGCGGAAACAGACAGAGAAGCTGCTGTTGGGCCTAGAAGGACAGCCCAGTGGCTAAGAGCAGTACTGTTCTTTCAGAGACTAATGTTTGGGTCCCTGCACTCATGTTATAGCTGCCTGTAACTCTAGCTCTAGGGTGTCTGTTGCCCTCTTCTGGCCTCCATGGGCACTGCACTCACATGAACATTCACACACAGATACACATATATACACATAAATAACAAATCTTTATAAAGAAAAGAAAGAAAAGTTGCTATATTACAAATTGTTTGGGAACTAACTTGTCTCACCTCAGGCCTGAAGTTCTGCCCTAGGAGTCTGTGAGAGAGGTCACCATGGCCAGCAACCTCTCCCATACCAGGAAACAAGTTACCTCCCCCACAAAGAAGGCAGACACACTGTTCCAGGGCAGCCTAGCATGTGGAAAGGGATGGGAGCCAGCTGGGTCAAGAAGTCCACATTTGTGTACAGTCAACTGAGATCCCAAGGGGGCACCTCCCAAGACCATAGAGATCTGCGGGCCCCAGAGGAGATTAGGAAAGCATGACATTCCTGGCGGCAGACCAGCTCCACATAACCCTGGAGAAAGTCAGGAGATGGACGGTGCCAGTGGGAAGCAGCAAGGAGCTTAGAGGCTCAGCGGGCAATCAGGCCGGGGCCCACACAGCAGGCCATCGACTCTCCTCCTTTACAGGGCTGGCGGTTGGCAATGTCCGCCCATCCTTGGATTCAACAAATGTTTATAGAGTTAGAGTAAACGTGGGTATCAGGCTCCTGCCTGGCCCTGAGGTCGAATTTAGAGTGTATTGGAAGACAGAGGCAGTGAAGAAAAAACAAAACAAACCAAAAAATCTGGGTGTGGTGGCACACACCAGTGACCCTAGCAGTCGGGAGGGTGGGAAGTTCAAAGTCAGCTATATAGTAAGTTCAAGGGCAGCCTGACCTTAAAGGGACTGTCTCAAAGGAAAAAAAGGGGGGGGGGGGCAAAAGAAGAAACTAAGCAAACACAGTAACAGGGAGGGGACTTTCTCACAGGATGACTTGGCAGGGAAAAGTCATGAAAAGCCTGAGGTTTATCAAGCTTGTCGTGTGGCCCAAACAGTGGCAGATCAGTGGAATTACAGAAGGAGGTAAGCAAGAGCTAAGACCCTAGTGTTTTGGGGTTGCCAGGTCTTGGTTTAGTCACGTGTGTGATGGGGAACCAATAGAGGGTTTGGAAAAGGTAGAAAAAATACTGTCATTTTTACCCACCCTACCACCCCCTTCTTAATTTTTTTTTTTTATTTTATGAGACAGGTTTCTCTGTGTATCTTTGACTGTCCTGGAACTCACTCTGTAAACCCCACTGGCTTCGAATTCACAAAGATCCACCTACCTCTGCCTCCTGAGTGCTGGGATTAAAGGCGAGTGCCACCATGCCAGTCTTGACTTTGAATTTTTGGTTTTCCCTTCTTAGACTCCTGTATACTGGGATTATAGGCAAATGCCACCATGCCTAGCATTCTTATTTTTCTCTTTCTCTATCTTCCACTTTATTTATTTCTGTCTTAATTTTTGTTTTGTTTTGGTTTTTGGTTTGTTGTTTTCAAGATAGGGTTTCTCTGTAGCTTTGGAACCTGTCCTGGAACTAGCTCTTGTAGACCAGGCTGATCTCAAAGTCACAGAGATCCACCTGCCCCTGCCTCCCAAATGCTGGGATTAAAGGCCACCACAACCCAGCTCTTTTTTATTTTTTTAAAAAGATTTATTATTATGTATATAGTGTTCTATCTGCATGTATACCTATACACCAGAAGAGGGCACCAGATCTCATTACAGATGGCTGTGAGCCACCATGTGGTTGCTGGGAATTGAACTTAGGACCTCTGGAACCGCAGCCAGTGTTCATAACCTCTAAGCCATCACTCCAGTCCCTGTTTTAATTTTTAGAGAGGTATTTGCCACCATTCTCAGCTTCTCTTCCACCCTCTAAATGACACTTTTGGTTGCTACAGAGAGACTTAACCTGTAGGGAAGGGGATGAAGTCCAGGCAGACTATGAAGGTGACTTGATATTGCTGAGCTAATAGAGTCCCGGGAAAGTACAGAACATCTTTTGCAAAGACCAGGATTTGCGGGTGTGGGTAAAGAACACAGGTGAGTTGAAGATGGTGAACTCCAGCTTGGGTAAAAGAGGATGTCATGATCTGAGATGGAGAAGGCCGAGAGAGGTGCAGAGTTGGGGACTGGTCAGCAGGGGACTGACCACTTAGCTCTAGAGAGGAGGAGGTCTGGAAGCTGTGGATGGTGGTCCTTGTGAGGTCAAAGCTTATGTTGTCTGGCCCCAGAGATGTTAAGATTAGTACATCCTGGAAATCTTCAGTGGTTGGAATGTGTTGAGTGTGATTTTGTTGTTGTTTGTAACCGTCATAAAAGACCCTGGGCAGGGGTGGGGGGTTGGGGTGGGGAAACAAAGCAAGCTTAGAGTGGCCTTGGCCGCCCAACTAAAGAGCCAGTCTTTCCTTCTGTTGCCCCTTCTTCCTGAGCGTAGGTATTTTATCTTTTCATCACCAGGCACCTAAACTGCCCTGCTGCAGATGCTGTGCCTCCTTCTCCCAATGGTTTGAGGCTGGAAAGTCCATGTGGAGTGTAATGAAGACCAGAGAGTCAAAAGGTCTAGGGCGAGGCAGGGCGGAGGCTTCTGTGAGTCAGTGTCAGGCTTCTGAACGAGCCAGAGAAATGGGAAAGGAAGGCAGACCACGAGGGGAAACGGAGGACTGAAGATAGTTCACCCCCTAAGAAGCTTGAAGGAAAATTGTGGGGCACTCAGGCTGAACCCCAGAACACCTTTGAAAATGCTGGGCAGGCAGGGTGGCGAGAAATGCTAATTCGCACTGGGGAAGGGGAGACTGCAGAAGTCTTGAGACTTGCTTGCCTTGTTCTAGAGAGCCACTTAGTGAGATCCTGGTCATCTTGTCTCAGAGAGAAAAAAAAACAAAAAAACAAAAAGCAAGGTTGAGGCACCTGATACAGGAAACCCGAAGTCGATCGCTGCTTCCATGCTCACACTCACACACACACTGTCTCTCTTTTTCACCTTAGACACACACACACACACACACACACACACACACACGGAAAGGCCCAGCAGCAGGATCGCTCAGCTTTAATCTCAGTTTTTAGGAGACTGAGGTAGGCAGATAGATCAGATCTCTGGGAGTTTGAAGCCAGCCTGGTCTATGTAGCAAGTTTCAGGATAGCTAAAGCTAGACAGAATGATCCTGTCTCAACCATAAATAAATAAGGGGCTGGAGAGATGGCTCAGTGGTTAAGAACACGCACTGCTCTCCCAGAGGACCTGGGTTCAATTCCCAGCACCCACAAGACAGCTCATAACGGTCTGTAAGTCTAGTTCCAGGGAACTCAATGCCATCTTCTGACCTCTAAGAACATCAGTCAAGCAAGTGGTGCAGATATATACATGCGGGGAAACTACTCCCCACTAAATAAATAAATAAATAGGGGAGGAAGGGGGCTGGGGATACAAGCTCAGTGGAGAGCCCTTGCCTGATACAGACAAAGCCTGGTACCAAGCAAAACTATTGAATGGAATTAAGGAAGTCAGAGGCCACCCAAAGCCAATACCAGGGTCAAGACAGAGAGGCCCAGGTCAGCAGTAGAATGGTTCTAGGTAGGATCTGAGGAAATGGCACCTTTCAAACCCTCCAGTTTCAAACCTAGAAAGGCCTCTAGGGACCAGGCAGATGACTCTTTCCCCAGAAAAAGGAACTGGTTTTCAAGAAGGAAATGGGAAGGAGAAGAGGAACACACTGCGCTCTGTCTCCAAGCGTT